GCGCCAACTTTTACTTCTGGCACGGGTAGAATGAATTCTTTCACCAGGTAATGCTAATTAATTCGATGGCACTACAGAAAAGTCCGTTGTTTCACAGCGACGCTCATTATCATTGTGTCCTTGTTTATGCGCGCTGTAAAGGGAAATTAATGAATCTTCGCTCTTGTTTTGTTCATTATTTTTTAACTAGTTTTTCGTCAATACATTTGGGATACCAATCATCATTAATTATAGACGTTGTCTCATGAATCTGCATCCAGGACACCAGATTCGGAGAAGTGAAGCAGTTTGTCAGGTTTTAGTCAAGGTTAGATGTCAGTGACGAGTGGTGTCTAGCGGCTCTTCTGACCGCAGAGAAACGGACTCTTTTACCATATCTCTCTGAGCAGGAGTAGGATCATTGTGTGTTGTTGAAATTATGCATACGTTGTTACTTCACTCACTGTTGTACAATAAATTCATCACTGACGTTCGTTCCGTTTACAGAAGTAGCGTTTTGTGTAACAGAGTGAATAAATCTGTCCTTGCAGATAGGCCGGTTCAAGTAATGCTGTTACCGCGATCCTTGCTTCCTTTTCTTCCTGCATTGTTCTACAAATCTGCCGTCTCATTCACCTCACTGTGAACGGATAGGGTCAGTTCATCCTCTTCTCAGCCTCGAGGACTAAAATAACTGAATTAGCGGTATGGCAGAATCATCTTGCAATGAAAACAAATCCTTCCGAAAGTTTGATGAAATACTCAGCTGCTAGGCATCATCAGTCTTTCGATCCAATACTGGATGAAGGCTCCGAAGACTTTGTCATATACCTGTGTTTTCTGGAATTTCTGTCCATCTTGATTCAACGAACCGCGGTTTATCTCCAGTTTGCAGATGTCCTTACCGATTGTTTAGGCTCTTGGACTCCAGCCTGATGTCTATCTGGTCTAGCGATGGTCGGTTCTTATCGCCATGTGTCGTGTCCATTGCAATTTCAGCTTCTTCACTCAGGCAGTGAAATTGCTGAGTCCCGTTTGTGCTCTTACCAGCTGGTTCGTCTTGCAATTTCTTTCTTGTTGTCCTCATTATGCTTCATTCCTTGCTGTGTTGCATTGTCTGAAATTGAGGAATAGCTTTTAGGCATAGGGTCCTGTTCATGAATAAGTTGCAGTTGTAGCATGCACTAACCGAAGACTTTGTCAAGCATAAGGGCAGTTTCCAAGATATGAACATTGTCTATCTTCGAAATGTACTCCATGCCACTTTTGCCATTCTGTTGATTTCGCAGAGTCTATTCTGCGTTGCAGAGATGAAATGTCCCAAACTTTAATAGATTGTGCAGTCACGTGTTTGTTTGTTAAACTTATCCTTTGTTGGCATCTTTCTTTAGAATTCTTCTAGCGACCCCAAAAGAATCAGACTGTCGTCCGTAAACCTCATTTGGCTTAAATAGGGCACATTTTCCTGAGCCGTTGAGTTTCCCAATTGAGTGTCTTCACAGTCTTTTCTTTGGGATACGGTGAATAACAGATATGATACTGAATTTCCTTGTTGTAGTCCCTTTTCGTTCCGCCAATCGGACATGGTGAAATTACGCCATACCCTGTATATTCATGCTAATAGCTTATGTATATTTTTTTGAGCATGTTCGGTTGCACGTAGCATCGCTGCAAGTGAACTGTTCTCACAATTTCAACTGTTAACCTTTTTCACTGGGACCTTTTTACAGTGTTCTGTCCGGCACCGCTGCTTTCAAGCTTGAGATTCCTTTTCGTTCTTGAACTAAGGCTCTTGTTGTTACTGTTTAGTGTCGTTCGAATATTCATGCTTTGTCAAAGTCGCACGCTTCGCTGCTTGTCTGGCATCATTGCTGTCGCACAGTTTTTAGAAGGAGATTACCTACAAGTAGCGAAATTATCGCATTTCCGGTTTGCCCAGTCTCATAGCAACTACTGCTCTGTTGTACATACTGTCTCTAATGCTAATAATACAAAAAATTTACGTAGTCCTTATTATATATTTAATTAATTCCACTTTGTGTAATTCTCGACCTTAACAGTCCAAGGTATCAAAATCCAGTGTTGCAATAAGGTGTTGAATGGGAATGGCATGTTTGTTGCTCTTGTTATGATTGGTAGATGAATTTTAGAATGTTTGTGCTCGATCAACAAAGCTGTAGCCCATCTTTTCAGGATTCAAGAATCAAGCGACTCTGCGTGACCCAGAAAATTTCATTCTTTCGTAGAGAAATGCATAAAAAATAATTTGCACTAGTTTTCGTCGGTACTTTCGTTTCATTGCT